AGAATAGGTTACACATTGTAACAAATTGGTTGAATCAAAAAGGAGTTGAACGGCTCACATGACCGCCATTACCTCTGGACTTGAATCTTATCGAGCACGTGTCGTAAGAAGTCGAACGAATAATGAAAACAGAACAGTCAAAGAACGAAATAGAATTTTAAAAAAACTTTGTTTCGAATGGGTCACAGCGTCGGTAAAGATATCACTAAAAAGTTGGTTGAGTCAGTACGAATCGATTCGTAGAAGTCATTCGAATGGATGGCTAACCAATCTGATATTGATGCGCAGAAAAGAAGTTTTTTGCACTTGAAAAGTATTTTTGATGTATTTGCTGAATAGTTTTGTGTTCGCTATGTTTTTTTAATAAAAATGAACAATGTGACTGATCCAGCTGAAACTTATCATCGATACGGTAGACGCAACAGGCTGCAAGCTAGTGAAAATCTAAACTCTCTAACTTCTATTATGTAGGAGATGTGGAGTGGGAAAAATATCTGGAGCTGCTGGTTAGATACTTTCGGTCGCTACAGTATGCCTCGAGCCGGTGAGTGTTTTTTTTTCTTATTCTGTACTTATTTACCTAGTTTAGTATAGTCTCAAAGTAAGCGAACGAAACAATGACCTTTAAAACATTGATAAAAGACTAGAAAGAATAATTTTCTTTCTCGATTGTCAGCTTTATAATGCATCCTGTCTTTTTCTTAGGCTTTTGTATACTGCTTGTTTCTATTAATTTCGAGTCAGTAAAATCCAAAGCAAGTGATTATGTTCCGCTGAACGGTTGTGTATGGTCTGATTGCAATGTAAGCGATATTATTCCTCCGATTAATAATTATTCAATTGATTGTTGCAAACTAGAAGTTCCTCTTAACTACGCAAGACCGAATGAGACGAAGATTACTATTTCGATGGCACGTCTCAGTCCTTACAATCAACAGAATACAATGAACAATACTCTTTTCATTCTTGTAGGTGGTCCTGGTGGATCCGGTTGGGGTGTTATTCCATATGTAGATATTCCTTTTCCACCTGCGTATGGCATAACTATAATACTGCCTGATCATCGTGGTGTTGGACTATCAACTCCTTTGAGTTGTGATGAGTATGGTTCGCAAAATATAACTGCTGATTGTATTTCCTATCTTACTTCGAAATGGGATATCGAAGGTTTGAATCAATTTTCTATAACAGCAGCGGCACATGACTTATCAGTTCAAATTCGATTTTTTCAATCGATTGTTTCTGGTCGAGTGTCCATCTATAGTTTTAGCTATGGAACAGTATGGCTCGATCGTTTTCTTCAAATCTATCCAAATTTGGTTCAGTCAGCTATTATGGACAGTGTTGTCAACCCGCAACTCTTCTCTATGAGTCGTTATAATCTTTGGACATCATTCGTTGCCACACGATTTTTAGCTTATTGTCAATTTCAATCAGAATGTAATCGATATTTTCCAGCTGATGAGCCACCTCAAATCATGCTATCCAGAATACTTAAGGAATTGGCTAGAAATAATCAACGTTGTGTCAATGAGTATTTTTCACAATATCATTTGACTGATAAAAAGCTTCGTAGTTTATTCTTCGACATGATGTCATCGAATCAGTTGTTTTATGATGGCACTGTTATACCGGCCATCTTATTTCGTTTGAATCGTTGCAATCAAGAAGATGTAACGGTACTGAAATTTTTTTTTTGAAACTACTCTTGGAACGCGAGAAAGCACAAGCGGGAGCAACCCAAATTTTTCACCACTTTTCGGATCTCTCGTGCTTGGTTATAATATTATTCAATCGGAACTTTGGCTAGGTAAAGATGAAGACGAAGTTGATGAAGAAACGATTTTAGCTTGGCATTCCTCAACTTTAATAGCTGCAGACAACCCGACATATTATACAGCTTTGAGATCTAAATGGCCCAAATATCCTTTAGATGAATATCATCATAAAGTGGCTACCAATTCAACTGTTTTGATGTTATCGAGTCAACTTGATCCGGCAGCAAATGTTGACTATGCCATTCATCTGGGAACAATGACAGCTAAAACGCGAACACTTTATGTTTTTCCATTGATTGGCCATATTACTATCACTGTAGCAATATTTGGCTACCAATGTCCACTAAAGCTAATGTGTTCATGGGCGTTTCCCGATTTATTTCCATCAGAATGGAGTGATCCCGGCTGCATTCAAGAGTTTCCTACGACAATAGATTTTGTGGGAGCTCATGAGGAAGGAAGACTTTTCTCGATGAAATATTTGAATATATCGAGACCTTTTGATAACCTTAATTCAAATACTCTTTCGAGTTCAAGTATCCGTTCAACAGTTGCAGATGGTTTTTTTCATTTATTTGCCACTAATTTTTCTAGCTTTACTCATCGAGATCGAGTACACAATTTAAAATAATCTCCTAATCGTTTAGACTAATAATTGATTATATTCTTAATAAAAGCCAAATTCGAGATCTCAACACATTGTGAGACTGCCTCAAAGCAAGATATCATCCCTTCGTTCAAGCGATCATTGCCCGAACGACAATTGACCAGTGTAGAATTGCTGGCATATTTGACAGAAGCGTAGTTGCGATTTTATTCCACACTAAATCGAATTGACAGACATGTGATTTGAGCACACAGAGCACCGCACCAGGATGAGTGTGGCTTGTGAAAAAAATGAAGATTTGCCACATGGAATAGATTTGTAGATGATCGTTCTGGCAAATAATAACTGAATGTTGGCATTAGTATTTTGATTGCATCAAGGGTGTGGGTGCGGATGTCGACATGGGTGTTAGAGTTTATGAAGGTATAGGTGTGACTCTGGTGGGGTGTTTGTGTGGATGGGATGTGCAGGTCCTTGTGCGGGTGGTTTTTGGTGTAGGTCTGGATTCACTAATCATCACCAGCCGCTGACACACACCCACACACTCTTTTGGAGAAACTGAAGTGAATAAATGTGAGGTCAGGTCTAAGTCACAAATTAATAACATCAAAATATCATTTTGGAGGAGTGACAGATTTCCGCTCTTACCGTGCTGGGTTCTTTATAGTTTATATAAATTGTATGTTCTGTTTTTTTATGCCTCTATAGGGGGTGCGTTTCGGGAATAAAATTTTTTCTTTTGCTTTCTTTTTCTATTTGAACAGGGAAACCTTTTTTTTCATTTATTTTCGAAGTGACCGTCGACAGTGAGATATCCATTTATATTGGAACTCGAATTAGGCAACTCATATATTGGAGCTATAAACTTGTACTTTATATCAGACCCAATCGTTTTCATTCTCTGCTAGCCAACAGGCATCACCGATGGAATTTAGAAATGAATAAGTTATAAAATTTTTCTTTTTCTATCTTTTTCTGCTTTGACATGGGTGCCCGTTGGAATGTATAAATTATATATTTTTTTTTCTTTTTCGATCTTTTGCTGCTCCGACACGGCTACGTGTCCGAAAAAGTTTTTCTTTTGTTTTCTGGCTACTGGAACATGGGTGCCGTTTTTTCATTTATTTTCGAAGCAGTAATAGATAGTTAGCTCTTCATAATATTCGAACTCGAATTAGGCAACTTATGAAAAAACGAGGAAAAAAGAAAAATGCTTACGACTTGATGAAAGTAAGACGTCATTTTTCTTTCCTTCCTGCACGAAATTACGGAGCAACGTTGAGAAATGCCAAAAACAAATGCATTATTCCGGAATCCAGCTCAAGAAGTAAAGAAAAATTACGTATTACTTTCGTCAAAGCCATAAGAATTTTTCTTTTCGCTCTTTTGTTTTCAGTGCTAAAATGTCGGCCCATCACTAGTTATAAACATATATTGTTGCAAAACTGATGTTTAATTCAAAAAGAAAGAATACATTCATCAATCTTTACAATTTCGAACATAATTTTAAACTTTTTTATCACATATTAAACAATAATGATGGTCCTGAAACTGAAACAAACATTCAAACAGACGAAGAGAAATATGCGAATGAATTTTTTGTGACATAGATAATAGTACATTAACACTTAATCCATATATTAAACCAAGCTGCTCATCACTTTTTAATAAAAAACATAATAGCATGAGCTTCTCTGAATAATTGTGTGTCACCGTCTCCTTATCTTTATCTTATTTTTTTTTAATTCATACAATTATGACGACGAATCTTGAAATGACAGATGCCACCTCCTCTAACAATGAATTTGGATTGATAGAAACACAGGACGCTATTGATCTGCCGATCACTTCTAATGACACAGGTAATATTGATCATTCTTTTATCAAAATGTATTGCTGTTTTGAGAGAATTATCAATATCTATTCTTGAATGCCGATCTAAACGAGTATTTATTCTCTGATTGATTGATGTTTTCATATTTAGATAGTTCATCTACGAACTCATCAAGACAAACAGTTACGACAGTAAACAAACAAAGTTATTTTTCGAAAATCGAAAATTGGTCCTACATTCAACTACAATATTTAAACAAAGGTCTTTTAATTGAAGCAATACAGGCTTGGGAAAAGACCCTCACTTTAGTCGACGAGTTAAATAAACACCAGAATATTTCAGAGGAAAATGTATCAGATCTTGAGCAATATTCTTCTATAAAATTCGTCTATTTTTTTTCAATTTGTAGAGAGCTGAGCTCAATCGTCTATTCACGTCTTACGAAGAACATAATCGACGGATTTTTGGTATAGAACCAAACAGCAGTGTAGAAAAGAAGAAGAAAATTAATAAAAAGAGGTCAGTGTCGCAGAATTTCACTTTTCGAGTGTTTTTTTCAATTGAAAGACGAATGAACAAAAATAAATTTAGAATTTCTGAATTTTGATACCATGTCATTTCATCATTGCCCAATGAATTTGTCAGTCTTTTTCATCAGTATATGCCTGCATCAAAAATATAAATAAATGGAATTTTTTTATTCTGGAAACGTGATAAAAACTATCTCTGAGAATGGTTGTGATTAAAATTCTGATGCTGAAATAATTTTCTTTCGATTGTTAATGAAATATTTGGATAAATTACTGAGAAATTTTTTTTTCTCTTGACATTTTCACACTATATCATTTGCGGGCGGCAGATATATGCCTTATGTTTCTATTGAGAAATTCTGGGCGCAAATGGTTGATATGGAAAAATCACAATCTGAAAATGCACCATTAAAAACATAAATTTAGATTTCTTTTTCATTAAGAAATTAAGCCATTTCTGAACCTGAGCAAAGATGGAGTCGGCTACCGATCGGTTCGGTTCGATACCGTTATGGATTTTAGCTGGACCAGTTTTCTAATAGACTGGTCGTGATCAGTCAGAGACCAACGCCGAGTCAAATCGAGATTTTCTTATTTGTTTGGTTTTCCATTATCGATAGACCGATCAGTCGCGGGAAGCACAGCCGATAACAGCTTGAGCGGTCATTATCGGCATCCTATTTATTGTTTTTGCTCTTGTTATCTCATACAGCATGTGTAATGAAATATAGTTGAGAATTGACTGTATCCAATATCACGATCCATATATGAACTAGTACGACAATTCGTCAAACCAGTGCTAGTATAGATTTTGAACTGCCTCGTAACCGGTGAAACGATCGTTACTGGTACAGTAGTCCGTTCGACTACGACTATTTAAACCGATACCAACCGTGACAAATTCAGATTAGTTCCATCTCTGAACTTGAGTTTTTATTAGCCCCGTCCTATTATTATAGCTAGTCGAAGAATATCACTAGTAAAGATTTGGCTGAATGAAGAGTTGAAAACTATCTCATATAGCGTAACATTGAGTAATAAGATAAAAAAATTAGTAAAATACTACTACATTCATAGAACAATCCATTTTCGAATTCTTTCAATAACACTTTTTTTCTATTACATTAGACTACATCGATCGCCAATTCGAGAATGTGCTGTTTGTCTTCAAAGCCAAAAACTTGATTTATATGCTGAGAGCTACAGTCAGACTTGTCAGCATACCAAACGCACTATCTGTAATGAAAGTGTGTACAAATTCATCAAATTTACCTTAGAAAATACATCTAAAAGTAATGTGAAATGTCCAGAACCAGGCTGCACTGAAGAGTTTAACCATGAAGGAATTCGTCGAATTCTTGAGATTGATAACTCTAAGACACTATTTGAAAAATATGACCATCGATTAACCCTACAATTTCTAAAACAGAACCCTGAATTCGTTATGTGTGCTTATCCAGAATGCAATGCAGGTCAATTCCATGATCCTGGTCTATCATTACGTCGCGAAGTTACTTGCATTAAGTGTAAAAGGAAAATCTGTTCATTTCATGGTGTTATATGGCATACGGGAATGACATGTGATCAATATGATCAACATCAAGTTGAGGACATTCAATCGAAAAATTGGATTAGTAAAAACATGAAAAAATGTTCACAGTGCCAAAGAAATGTTGAGAAGAATGGTGGATGTAATCATATAACATGTACACGGCCATGTGGATATCAGTTCTGTTGGAAATGTCTCGCCGATTATAATCGCATTGTTAGTATGGGCTCACACGAGCATAGAAGTACGTGCAGTCATTATAGAACAAGAGATCTCCCCAATGGGATAATAATTCGCAATTATTACATACAAAGAGCAACATTTAGTTATGATATGCTAAGAACTAGAGTCAACTACGATGAATCAAGAACAAGAACATGCACGATATTCTAGATATGAATGAGTACAAAAATGCCATGAAGATCACAGTAGACTTTTAACACAAATAAATTTATGATTTATTCGAGATTTAATAAGATAAAGGATGAGAATGTGGGTGTAGATTTTATCTTCATCTCCCCTACATCGATACCCCATCCACAGCCTAGCTATCCTTTATTTTTCTCTTCTTTTCTAACGATTTTTTTCCATTTTTCTCGGACTTCTGTGTTTTCTCAATATATTGGAAATATTTACCGATGGGGAAAACAATTTCATCGAGCATCCTATTCGGTCGTACCTTTGATGATCAATGGCGCGCTTAGCTCATACCTATTCGTTATTTCCCTTCAATAACAACCGTTCTCTTCAAGTTTCAGTCAACTATCGTCGAGCTACGTTCTTTTGCCTTTGACTTTTGTTTTGCGTATGACAATTCAATGATGTTAAGAATGCATTCTATGCTTTGTTAGGTGAATGGTACTTGATTCTTTCTGTAACCGAAAAACCTTTAGCAGCCGATGTTTTAAACCATTGTACCGATTTATTTTTTTCGAACTTTTTTTAATTTGAGTTTCTGTTATATATCTTATTCGCATCAGTATTTCATCAATCGTAGCTCTGGTTTGAGTGTGAGAAAAATAACAACTGTCATATCCAAATCGAACGATTCGTTCATCATTCGAGCATATTGATTCCTTTCGTTTCATTATGAAGAATCTACTTGTTACAG